ATACATCTGGGAATGCCAGGCAGTAGCATTCTTGCTTATTGACTTGATCGAACCTAGCCGCTAGCTAGCCCCGCTCCTATGTCTGCAATGCTCCAGGAAGTACAGGCACAGCAACAGCCCCCAGAGGACGCCACCGATCACCATGATCAACACGAACGTAAACGTCATGGCGTCACGTTGGGGAATCCCCTCGCTCGGAGCCGCACGTCGCTCGGGGTCGAGGGTCGCGCCGCTCCACCGGGTGGTTCAGCTCTCCGTCTGCCTTTGATTTGGTTGAGCGACTCAGCCGGGTCTGTGGTGCTCACTTGAGGTGATCACTTGAGGTGGTCACCGGTTGGTTGGCGGCATGCAGTGGTTCATGTGACCATGGAGGCATCAAGTGTTGGGTTTTTCTGTTCTCTTTTTGTGTTTCCATGGTAACTCCTGTATGCATGTTTGCTTTGTCATGAGGCTATCACAAGCCTTCAAGCCGCTGAGCCTCATTGGCAGAGTTGCCTCAAGTGAGCGCATGCACCTTCAGGATACCCAACATCCATCAGTTGATCCATGGGACGGGTGATAACACGCGTTTTCAACTGCAGCTACTACTGCAAAAGCAGGTGCACCGTTTGGGATGTGTGTTCCGAATGCTCAACCACAAAGTTGGGCTATTCCAGTGGATCATCCTCACCGACGCTTCAAAGGTCTGAGACCAAGTCAGAATGTCCTATTGCCTGGCAAAGGGCATACCAAAATGGGAGTGGTGATCCCTTGCAGATACGTCACTTGGAGCTGTCGAATGCCCCGGCCCACACAGGAGGGCCACACACAAGAAGCCCGCTCCAGCCTCCAGGTTGGTGCGGCCCGGCTGTGAGAGCTTGGGCTTGAAGGGGTGGAGGGCCTGGAACCTCGGAAAGGTGCTGAATCGTTCGCATTGAACGCATGGAAGTGGTTGCCTGGCTGCGAACCCAATCGCAAAGTCTAAAGTTCAAGAGGAAAAACACCTGTTTTCGATCAAATTGAATTTGCCTGTATATAAATTCTCCAAAGTGAGCCGCTGCCGCTCCGGGTCAAGAGGCTCTTCCTCATATTTCTTCTGCAGATTCTCGACGTTCGAGGCTTTCTGGCTGCTGCTGTCGCGCAGTCGTTGCCATGCCTGATCGGATCTCATTGCAGATCATTGGAGGGTCTGTTGGTGTGTTCTGCCAGTCAAGTAAAGCCGGCGGCAACGAACCCAAAGTGGAGTTGCTCCAGAAGCGAGCAAGATGTTGGCCCACCTGCTATGTATGTGTTTACAGAGTCTGCTTCAACAGGTTCCAGAATGATGCATTGAATGTTTACAGGTCTTGTCTGCTATGTGCACTTCAGTCGGGCAGGATGGCCTAGATTCTTTTAAAAGTTGTGGCGATCCTGGACGCGCTAGCCCATGCAGAGTGAATCCATGAACCATTTCAACATCACAGCATGTAGATCCCCAACACTCAAAGACAGTAAATGACATACTTAATCAAAATTCAATGCGCTTAGCTGTTGAGAACAGCAAGCATCCCTCCATTCCCTGCGCGCCTCCTCTCTGCTTCCGGTCATCTTTTCCGCTTTGAACAGGGGCGTCTCAGGGAACTTGGGTTGGAAGGTGTGAAGATCCTGGAACCTCGGCGCCGGGCGGCTCGTTGGCCCTCATGCTGCCCGAATTCGTGGGCTCAGGCTAAGCAGCTAAGGCTTCGTATGGGTTTGGGCAGCCGCAACAGCTGCAAAAACCGCAAAAACCGTTGGTTGGGCCGAGGGGCTCTTCTTCCTTCTTCTCATGCGCTCTCTTCAACGCCTCCTTCTTCTGTTCAATCCCCTCCTCATGTAGCCGCAGGCAAGCCTGCCGTATCTGCAAACAAGGCCTTCAAGCATGAAGCGACCGGCACCTCCACATCCTAGTAAAAACTAGCTTCTTGTTCCTAGTAGCGATGCACCTGTTACTAGTAGAAAAAATGAGTTATATAATAAGTTCCACTTCAAAATACAATAAGAACTCAGGGATTTTGAGCGCCACTTGGTAGCTCATGGGCAGCACCCGCTGAGGCCTCAGTGGCTGCGCCGCGCTGCTTCCTGAGATGGCAAGGGAAGCAGTGGTGGAAAATAGAGACGCCCTGTACCGCTTTGGAGGGGAGAAACTTGTAGAGTCTGGGAGCTGCAAAGACCCCCAAACAGTATGCAAGGCTTCTGCTGGAGTCTGCTGGAGGTCTCCTTGCTTGACATGCTCACAAATGCCGTTTGTCTTCAAGGTTTGGTGGCACATGGTGAATTGTGCCGGTGCTGAAATATTGGGAGGTTCCAACATCTTAAGGAAGTTGGAGGTTCACTGGTCCACTTCCAGTATGTGAGACCGCTCTTCACATGGTTCATCCCACTTTGGAGTTGGACCTCTTGAGCACGCCCTTGACTTCCAGAAGCGAGGCGCTGTGCTTCGTCTTCCCTCCTTTCTCGTGCCTCTTTCACCCGCATCTTAGGACTCGATCCTGAGGCGCCACACAAGGACCAAGTCCTACAGAGGTTAAGTGACCTTATAGGACACCCTACAGAGGTACCTATAGGATAGTCTACAGTCTACAGTATAGGGTTCTTCCACCTCTTCCTCAAACCCAAGGGGGCAGATTCATCCGATGGGATGGTGGTCATTCAGCCCGCTGCTACGGCCCTCACCCTCAGCCGGCCTGCATAGAGGCGGTCGTGCACGTTCTTCTGTTGGAGCATGGCCACGATGCCTCCACTACCTTCCGCGTAGTGGAAGAACTTTGGGCCGCTTGGAATGGCAAACCGGTACCATGGTTGATCATGGTCGATCCATTTCTTTGTTCCAGGGCCTGTCTCAATCCTGCATGGGGCTGCTTGGAAGAAGTGAGGGCTGCCACACATTCGTGTGCACTTTTGTAATGGCAATCCCCGTATCTTCCTCTCGAGGCACATCAACAGAATTCATAGACTATGCCGCCACGGTCCCTAGATAGCAGTGAAAATAGACATGGACATAAACTGAAAAGGGGCATCAGACTTCTCCGAGAAGTAAGATTACAAGTTGCCCTCACCCATCTTCAACCTGCATCGCCCTGACATTCCACTGGGAGATGTTGTTCTAGCGTCTGGTCCGCCATAATTTCACAGAACCGGCATTCATGTCAGAGATGTTTAGGCTTCAGCTTGCTAAAGCAATGCTCAAGGATAAGATTACAGTAAATGCATATAGAAATTAGTATAAAATACTTAGAAGTTAGACTGTGCAAGCTGCTTCTCCTCCTCCTTCGCTCCCACCCAGATTGGATTCCGATTTTGGGCGCCTCTCTCGCTACTGGCAGCCATGAGTGGACTGTCCATGACGACCTTTGGGGCCAAGGGAGGACCGACCACTGGGCGGAGGAAGAAAACGAAACCTCCACAAATCGGATGAAACGAGAAAAAAAGAAAAAAATAACACAAACCCAAGGACTGCGCCATGTCAGAATAGTCTGTGATAGTGTCTGTATGTGTCTGTGATTGTCTGTATGCAAAATCCTGGCGAATGCCTTCCTAACGTCATCTACTTTTTTTGCATCCCACTGGATCCCACTCGTTGAGGGCCCCGCAGTGAGTGCCCCAATGCGCAGATGTGGACCGGCGAAGCTACTGGTTGCTGTATGGCTGAACTGGGGGGAGTGACCTGGTGAATTGCAAGTTCAATATCATAATTCTTGAAGAGTGTGGAGTCACCTCTGTCATGATGGCTTGGATGACGATTCTTGCTGCTTGCAGTGTTGGTTTCTGCCGGCATGTGGAACACGCAGGAACAAGTAAAACAACAACAGGGTCCAGGATGCAATTGAAATGTGTTTATGTCTGAAGCCTTCTACTTCTCGTTCTCTGGCCGGCTGTCACTGGTCTTGCTTTCCTCTCTCGGTTCCCAAAGCCACCAAAATGAGCGTTGATGAGAGACATGCAGGAGGCTCGCTGTCCCTCTGAAGGTGCTTTGTGTCCTGTAGACCTTCTAGCACTGACCTATCATTCAATCCAAGAAGAATTGGAATCCACATTGGTTCTGCATCAAGCTGACAGGCCTCTGTCGAAACTGGATCAACAAGACTGGGTGGTGTGATTTTAGCCGAAGGGTTCCCAAAGACTCAAAACAACACGGAATTCCGGGTTCCCATGTCCACTCGGGATTTCGTGATGTTGGTGGTTTTGTTTCTGAAAAAACACGGCAAATCAAGACTTTTAGGTGCATCTTGCGGGTTTCATGAGATTCATGACGAAACTATATCCAAATCTCGCACTGCAAACCTTAAGATCATCAAAATTGGTTGGAAAAGCCGAAAGCCAAGCGACCCCGCGTGGCCGGACACTTGTTGCCGTGCAGTCGTTCCCGGCGTCGAAACCACCAACGCACACTGAAAGAAACCATCGAAATCAGGCGGCTCTTCCACCAGCAAACAAGAAAATGAACGTGTTGCCCAAGTTTGGAAGGTTTCTGCGTGCACACTCCGCTTGGACGTGTCGGCGCTGCCCTTTTCTCCAAAGGTGTGCTTTGACTTGATCCCTGTCGTCAGAACTCGACAGGAAGGCTTGTTGTGAGGGGTGGCCGGCCAAGGATCATCAGAACGTAGGTGATCCCTACATGACTTGATATACGCATCTTCAGGTCTGCTAACCTTTGCACCTGCCATCTAGAGAAGAAGCAACTTTATATACACAGGCCCTTGGTCCTCAAACGCCTCGGCACATCGCACGTGCTTCCGGCAAGTGCAGTCCAAAGAGACAGGATGGTGATGAGTTTGCATTTCCAGGGTGGGCGTCTTCCAGCGAAGGTGGAAAAGGTGTGGGTGGCCACAGTGGAATTTGATGATCTGCCAGGGTGACGCCGCTGACGCCCCAGTGAGCTCTTTGCGTGTCACAGACCGACCAAAACCCTAAAGTGAGAGAGAGAAACACGATCCAAACTGAAGGCTGATCAATGGATGGAACACAATTTTGTTGATTTGGCGCACTGACGCACCGATCAACCTGGGGATAGTCCCCGGCCTCACCCCTCACCACAAGCCCCTCTCAAATAAAGGCTGAACGCCCCATGCGCTCCTCGACTCACCACCTCGGTGGAAAAAGGAGGCCATGAATAGAATGAGCCCATGATGACCTGACCGGTGCTTAATAGAGAATAAGGGAAGGACGCCTTACTACAGTTTGGGATCCATTCCCTCATCCCTTACTAAGCACCGGTCAGTGACCGCTTCCAACCCCGAAAAGAAATTTGTCGACCACAAGGTCTTTTTGAATGAACCTGTTGCAAGTAAGGGGCCCCTGCTTAGGATTGCCGCTGGCAAGTTTGTAGATCTGGCTCCTCACCTGCCCCGCACTCCACCCAATCTGTATTCTGGATGGCGTCGCAGCGTGCAAACGAAGAAGAACTCAATGATGGGTGTCGCATGCAATTTTGGTGTGCATTCAACTGGGGGACACTATATACTATATACGTTGACAGTACAGTATATATGCCAAAAGTTGTTCCATCAGGGATGCTCCCCATTGCAATGCACACCCGCACATAAATGCTAACAAGCAGCCCCATGGCCTCATCACAATCACGCCTTGGTCCGCCTTGGTCAACCCTGGCAACTGCAAATGCCGCCAGGAAGAAGGGTGGCAAGGCCACACAAACGCGTCCCCAAAAAAAACCGATACCGGCACGAAACCCACCATTCATCTACTGTTAAATTCGATGCGTCCGATTCTCGAGCCTCCGTCTGCAAATCCAGTGACCACACGTCGTTGAAATCTCAGTTCTGCAAACCACAATCGCTCCGCGGCTGTTGGACGCCTTTCTGGACTTACCACACGCACTTCACCTTCTGAGACATCCAGCTCAGCTGAGGCCCAGAACGCCCCTCATCTTGATTGCTTCAGATCAAGCACGGAGAGAAAAGACACAACACAACACATCGCAGCTTGTCAGCCCCACACCACCGCCACCGTAGCCTCGGGCGGAGGGAACATGCAACACGGGAATGAGACCCTTCTTGACTCTGCCAAAGACCGTCTCAGAGGCAGACCTGCAAACACCACCATGGACTGCCTGTCTGGATCGTAGACAGCCGAATGACGGTTTCGGCCGCAAGGACCTGTTCCTGTGCCGTGCAGCTGCCGCCAGGACATCTCCTCCAGGGACAAAAAAAATGGTACAAACCAAACCTTTCCCCGATGCAAAAGGTTGAACTGGGCAGTGTGCCATCCGAGCCGTGGCGGCCTCACCAAACCCCAAAACAAATGGTCAGAAAGTTGAGCCCAAGTGGAGGCTGTTGCACGGGGTAAGCGGAAGAACTCAGTCCGGTTGCATATGTGCCTTGCACTGACCAGCTCAACGACTACGGCTTACGAGCTGTGACAAAACTCGAAGTCCCGAGTCACCAATAGTTGAATCAAAATCCGCGTGGGCGAGTGGGTTTGCCTGGGACGTAGACGCTCTTGAGGATCAGCCAGGCGATCTCAAAGCGGTGGCTTTCTCATTGACGGATCAGGCCCCAAAGTGTGCGGCACCAATGGCTGCCCCACAGGTTTTGTTATTTGGTGCCTTCCAAGCCGATTAGTATGCCCCACTGTATGACATTGTATGACTCCGACTTGCAAATGTGTTCTGCAAATTCCATTGGCGCACAAGTGGCAAAACCTCAGCGAACTGCGCCGCCACGTTCCTGCCCGAGAATCTTGACCATTGTCTGCTGCATTCTGCGAAAAGGCCAATCGTAAATGCACTGGGAATAATGGGCGCGCTGTCTGCCAATATATATTTGTTTGCACCATCTTTAGGTACTGTACCAACAGGCTCGGGCAACTTTCTTCTGGCCGCCTAGCCTAGACAGGAGGTCCAGCAGAGTGCCTCAAGTCACGGATGGCTTGGAGGCCGTCTGACTTGGGCGCAGGCCAAGTTCCTGAATGTTCCTGACAGAGTGCGCAGCATGATCTGATGGGACGACTGCGAAGTCTTCGCTCGGCACCATGGGTTCTGGCACCGCACTCTGCACTAGAAGCCGTCTAATGACCAGTGCCATGCCAGCGGCCTGCCTGCTTTGCCACAAGGCACAAACAGCACTATCACGTCGCAAGTGCAAGTGAAACAAGGCCGGAGGACTCCACAAATATGCTAGATGTGGCGTGGGCCCGCCAAACCAAAGCAAATTAGATCACAGGAGGCAAAGAAAAAAAAACACAAGAGGAGGAAAGGACCCGCTCATGCCGGCCGCCACGCCTGGGAAGAACAGTTCAGGGCTGCAAGCTCCTAACAAAAATTTCAAAAATCAAAAAGGCTAATCAGCAGCTAGCTTAGCAGCTAGCAGTGAGAAAGGCGCAACACCCCGGACGGCAAGAAGCAGGCACAAGGCCGCAGCATGCGATCCGCAAGCGGCACCAATGGGCTCAGCCAACTTTCTTCCCTGGCGGCCTAGCCGAAAGGTCCATCTTGCAGAGTGGTCGAAGCTGCGTTTTATCTGCTAGCTACGCCTGGAATTGACCCCAGCCTGCCTCAAGCCAGGGTTGGCTCGAAGGCCGTCTGAGTTGGGGGCAGGCCAAGTTCTTGATAGTGCGCAGCACGATCTGGCGTGACAACTGCGAAGTCTTGGGCCGGCACCATGGGCTCTGGCACCTCATTTTGCTTCATATAGTAACTACAAGGCGTCTAATCAGTGGCCCCATGTCCTTCGTCTGCTTACTCTGCCACCGGGCACAAACAGCATCGGATCTTGAATTGCTTCCGTCCAACCACGAGCTGCGAACAATCAACTCTGCAACTATCAAGGCGCTTCTGGCTAGTACAATGCTTACTCCTTAGGAGTTACATGGATTTGCCACCAGTGGCCCAGCGTCATTCAATTCAAAAAGTTCAACCTCCCCTAGGCGCCCATGAGGTGTTCTTTGGCGACACGACTTGACTTGAACAATCGGTTTGTTGCAGCCACCCATCTTCTTAACTAGAATAAAACTGGTTCCCTGAATCTGGATTGCAGCTCACAAGTATGCTGCACCACCTCACTTAGCATCTTGCACGCTACTCACTGCTTCAAAACAAGTGGACGCAATCAACCACTCAACCAAGGCAGAACGATTCACTATCAACAGCACTGGAAACCTGAAACCACTCAACTCAGATACAACATGATACAACACCGAATGCCGCTCGCACTGCCTGCAAACTGAAGCACCAAACGTCACCATAGTCTCAGGTTTGCCACCGAATGCTCTGCACAATGTGTTCAAGTCCAATTGTGAACAAAGAAAACTAAAACGTTCTACTCTTGGCACACTGTGCAACTTGACAACTGGCTCAGACTGGTTCATATATATACATACAAACTGACACTTTCTCAAGCACACAGTTCACTCAGCTGAGGCCCGGTGCTTATGTCTCCTCAATACGTCATTGTTTGCTCGCAGCCAGGCGCCAAAACAAAACAAACCAAAAATATAAAACATAAGATTAGCCCCGCACGGTCGCCACCAAATCCTCGGCTTGAAGCAAGGTGCCACTGGAGAATGGAGCGCAACACTTCTCGACGCCGAAACATGAAGGAATCTCAGAGGCAGACCCCAACCCCCAAACACAACCATGGAGTGGCTGTGGGGATCGTAGACCGCTGAATGCCCAAATCGTTCGCTCGGAGCCCTTCCAGTGGGTTGCAGCTCCATCCAGGACATCTCCTCCAGGCGCTGGCCGCTAGGACATCGCAAAAACCCACAGCTTTTCAGGCGCTTTGCCAAAGGTAAAGTGGTTTGGTCTGCCAATTGGTTGTGTTTGCAGCTGTCGACGTTATGACATGTTCAAAATCTTCCAAGCTGCATTTTTGCGCTCAATGCCAGCCACCCAGCCGCAAAAAGGAAATGAAAAGAGTCAACCACTGAACTGCCACTGGCCCGCTTGACCCCGAATCTCGGATAACCTGCCTTCAAATCCAGTTTCCACAAGTCGTTCCCTCAGCTTTTTTGCAACAAATTCTCTGCAAAATGACACTTTCAAGCTGCGAAGTCCAAATGAGGGACATGACGACATTGATATCTGGAACTATTGCGGCGCGTTCTGAGACACAAGCTGTCGGTGCCTTAGCTGCTTATCGCGGCCAAGCACCAGAACAACAAAAACCAACGATTCCGATACATAGAACTTAGCCCCGCACTGCCGTCGCCACTACCTCCTCGGCTTGAAGCAAGGTGCCACTGGAGAATGGAGCGCAACACTTCTCGACGCCGAAACATGAAGGAATCTCAGAGGCAGACCCAGACCCCCAAACACAACCATGGAGTGGCTGTGGGGATCGTAGACCGCTGAATGCCCAAGTCGTTCGCTCGGAGCCCTTCCAGTGGGTTGCAGCTCCATCCAGGACATCTCCTCCAGGCGCTGGCCGCTAGGACATCGCAAAAACCAACAGCTTTTCAGAAGGCGCTTTGCCAAAGGTAAAGTGGTTTGGTCTGCCAATTGGTTGTGTTTGCAGCTGTCAACGTCACGACATGTTCAAAATCTTCCAAGCTGCATTTTTGCGCTCAATGCCAGCCACCCAGCCGCAAAAAGGAAATGAAAAGAGTCAACCACTGAACTGCCACTGGCCCGCTTGACCCCGAATCTCGGATAACCTGCCTTCAAATCCAGTTTCCACAAGTCGGTCCCTCAGCTTTTTTGCAACAAATTCTCTGCAAAATGACACTTTCAAGCTGCGAAGTCCAAATGAGGGACATGACGACATTGATATCTGGAACTATTGCGGCGCGTTCTGAGACACAAGCTGTCGGTGCCTTAGCTGCTTATCGCGGCCAAGCACCAGAACAACAAAAACCAACGATTCCGATACATAGAACTTAGCCCCGCACTGCCGTCATTAGTTCCTCGGTTTGAAGCAAGGTGCCACTGGAGAATGGAGCGCAACACTTCTCGACGCCGAAACATGAAGGAATCTCAGAGGCAGACCCCCAAACACAACCATGGAGTGGCTGTGGGAATCGTAGACCGCCGAATGCCCCGTTCGTTCGCTCGGAGCCCTTCCAGTGGGTTGCAGCTCCATCCAGGACATCTCCTCCAGGCGCTGGCCGCTAGGACATCGCAAAAACCAACAGCTTTTCAGAAGGCGCTTTGCCAAAGGTAAAGTGGTTTGGTCTGCCAATTGGTTGTGTTTGCAGCTGTCGACGTTATGACATGTTCCATTGTTGCTCTCAATGCCAGCCACCCAGCCGCAAAAAAAAAATGAAAAGAGTCAACCACTGAACTGCCACTGGCCCGCTTGACCCCGAATCTCGGATAACCTGCCTTCAAATCCAGTTTCCACAAGTCGTTCCCTCAGCTCTTTTGCAACAAATTCTCTGCAAAATGACATTTTCAAGCTGCGAAGTCCAAATGAGGGACATGACGACATTGATATCTGGAACTATTGCGGCGCGTTCTGAGACACAAGCTGCCGGTGCCTTAGCTGCTTATCGCGGCCAAGCACCAGAACAACAAAAACCAACGATTCCGATACATAGAACTTAGCCCCGCACTGAGGCTACTTCTTCGGCCTCGGCCTCGGTTTGAGGCAAGGCGCCACTGGAGAATGGAGCGCAACACTTCTCGAAGCCGAAGCATGAAGGAATCTCAGAGGCAGACCCCCAAACACAACCATGGAGTGGCTGTGGGGATCGTAGACCGCTGAATGCCCAAATCATTCGCTCGGAGCCCTTCCAGTGGGGTGCAGCTCCATCCAGGACATCTCCTCCAGGCACTGGCCGCTAGGACATCGCAAAAACCAACAGCTTTTCAGAAGGCGCTTTGCCAAAGGTAAAGTGGTTTGGTCTGCCAATGGGTTGTGTTTGCAGCTGTCAACGTCACGACATATGCAAAATCTTCCAAGCTGCATTTTTGCGCTCAATGCCAGCCACCCAGCCGCAAAAAGGAAATCCGCCGACCCCGGCCGAAGTAAGGGGGAGCGCGCCAGGGAATACAGGTGTCAATGTGTGTTTCCATGGGTCCGCTGAACCAAAGAGACCAGGCTGGGCGAGACAAGTGGAAGAAAATGAAAGAAAACTTGTCTTTTTCTAGGGATTCAGACGCCCCGTTTGCCCCAAAGTCCGAGGATTCGAGGCTCGTTTGGGGACAGAACTAGATGGGGAAAAGCTGTGGCGGGACCAGGTGTTGGGGACCAGGCTGGGCGAGACAAGTGGAAGAAAATGGAAGAAAACTTCTTTTTTTCTAGGGATTCAGACGCCCCGTTTGGCCCCAAAGTCCGAGGATTCGAGGCTCGTTTGGGGCCAGAACAGATGGGGAAAAGCTGTGGCGGGACCACGTGGGGGTGAAGGATCAAAAAAAATTGATAGGGGTCAAAAAAAATTGTTTGAGGAGATCATTTTAAAAATAATTTAGATCAAAAAAATATTACAGTAGTAGTGGTAGTAGAAGTAGTAGTAGTAGTAGTCCTAGTCGTAGTCGTAGTCGTAGTAGTAGTAGTAGTAGTAGCAGTCGTAGTAGTACTAGTAGTAGTAGTAGTAGTAGTAGTAGTATTAGTAGTAGTAGTAGCAGTAGTAGTAGTATTAGTAGTAGTAGTAGCAGTAGTAGTAGTAGTCGTAGTAGTAGTAGTAGTAGGAGTAGTAGTAGTAGTAGTGGTGGTGCTGGTGGTGGTGGTGGTAGAAGTAGAAGTAGACGTATGGGTAGAAGTAGAAGTAGAAGTAGTAGTTGTAGTAGTTGTAGTACTAGTAGAAGTAGAAGTAGAAGAAGAAGAAGTAGTAGTAGCAGTAGTAACAATAGTAGCAGTAGCAGTAGCAGCAGCAGCAGTAGCAAAAGATGTATAAGTAGTAGGAGTTGTAGTAGTGGGAGTAGCAGTAGCAGTAGCGGTGGTAGTATTAGTAGTAGTAGTCGTAGTAGTAGTAGTAGTAGCAGTAGTAGTAGGAGTAGTAGTAGTAGTAGTAGTAGTCGTCGTCGTCCTAGTCGTAGTCGTAGTAGTAGTAGTAGTAGCAGTCGTCGTAGTATAGTAGTACTAGTAGTAGCAGTAGTAGTAGTCGTCGTCGTAGTAGTAGGAGTTGTAGAAGTAGTAGTAGTAGTAGTAGTGGTGGTGGTGGTGGTGGTGGAAGTAGAAGTAGAAGTAGTAGTTGTAGTAGTTGTAGTACTAGTAGAAGTAGAAGTAGAAGTAGAAGAAGAAGAAGAAGTAGTAGTAGTAACAATAGTAGCAGTAGCAGTAGCAGCAGTAGCAGTAGCAGAAGATGTATTAGTAGTAGGAGTTGTAGTAGTGGGAGTAGCAGTAGCAGTAGCGGTGGTAGTATTAGTAGTAGTAGTAGTAGTAGTAGTGGCGGTGGTGGTGGTGGTTGTGGTGGTGGTGGTTGCGGTGGTAGTGGTAGTGGTAGTGGTAGTGGTAGTGGTAGTGGTAGTGGTGTAGTGGTAGTGGTGTAGTGGTAGTGGTAGTGGTAGTGGTGTAGTGGTAGTGGTAGTGGTAGTGGTAGTGGTAGTGGTAGTAGTAGTAGTAGTAGTAAGTAGTAGTAAGTAGTAGTAAGTTGTAGTAAGTTGTAGTAACTAGTAGTAAGTAGTAGTAAGTAGTAGTAAGTAGTAGTAAGTAGTAGTAAGTAGTAGTAAGTAGTAGTAAGTAGTAGTAAGTCGTAGTAAGTCGTAGTAAGTCGTAGTAAGTAGTAGTAAGTAGTAGTAGGTAGTAGTAGGTAGTAGTAGGTAGTAGTAGGTAGTAGTAGGTAGTAGTAGGTAGTAGTAGGTAGTAG